ATGGCTGAAGTGGGATCTGTGAAACACCTGAACTTCAGGGAGATGCCAAGTTCTGAGTGCCTGGGGTGAAAAAGGCTCCTGATTTTTAAATTATTTTAATTTTTTCCCTGTAAGGAAAGCACCAAACCCAACCAGGCTCTTCCATAGCCGTGCTCCAGATGTTTGGTTTTTCCTTCTCCAGAGGAACCCAGATGGGGGCACGGTCAGGTGGGGTTTTCCCAGCTCCAGTTCATCATCTCCAAGACCTTGTAAATGGAAAATTTATTGCCCAACTGGCGTCTCCCACTGCCCAGCCTGGAGATGCTGCATCCTGAGGAGGGAAATGGGAATACTCAGTCCTGCCTTCCCCCCACTTTGTGGCTGCTGGAATTCCACCTCGGGGAAGCTCCCGAGGCAGAAGGAGATATTCCTGAATATTCCTGAATATTCCCAGTCTGTAAAACTCTTGTGAAAAACCCAAGGGGAACGTTGCCAGTGCCTGGAAGGAAGAGAAAAACAGCTTTTCCATCACCAAGTCCGGTGGACTCCGGGCTTGTTTCAGTGTCCGTGGGTGTCGGGAGAACACAGACCTGGGGGGGAGTGGGGGGTGGGAGGGAGGGATTTGCTTCTGCTCCCAGGAAAATTTGGGAGCTCGAACCCCCCACCTTCCCCTTCATTTTCAACATAAAAAAAAAAAAAAAAATAATTATTCTCTTAATAACTAAAGGCCTATTTTCCACATACTTGAATTTCCAGCCCAGTTGGACTATTTCGAGGGACTAAAGGCACTTTAACTGTCCTTACTTTGTATGATACTTTGCAATGTATTTACTATGGATTATCTGCATGGAATAGAGTCTGAATATGAAATAAAACCTTCTTCCTTTTGGACTGCTTGGTTTGGCAGAGGAAACCCCCCTCCCCTTATCCCCCATCCATCCAGGATTAGCGCCCGTGGCGTGGGAGCACCGGGAGCAGGATGGGGAATTCTTTTCATCTTGGAGTCTTTTAATTGAGGCTCCAAAAACACAGGGATTTCTCTCTCTCTTCTTTTTTTTTTCTTTTTTTTTTTCTTGTATTTTTAAGGCACTTTTCCCTGCCTTAGCACAGACACATCATTAGCAGGAGGAGTTCCCAGGGCTCACAACTCCTGTAATTGAGCTTTTGAATTAAGACTATCAGTTGCTTCTCCTTTATTCTCCTTGGCTGATGGAGATGATTTTTTATTTTTTTTTCCCCCCAGGCTTCTCATCTCTCATAGTGGAGTTTCCTCGGAGCATTTGACTCGTTCACAGTGGTCAGGTTGAGTGTTTTGATCTCTGCACCAGTC